TGATAGTTGTGGTGGTGGTGGTGGTGGTGGTCGTGGTGGCGATGTTGGTGGTGGCACTTGTAGAAATTGACGTCGGTGCTGTCCTTTATAGTTGCCTTAGTTATAGTTTCGACTACAATGTTACAAAGTCGACGAGAGACGCAGAATCGTAGTAGTGGTGATGATGAGAGTCATCAGCATCAGGGTTATCATCGAAGTATCTTGACAATGCAGACAGATCGCGCCCCGGTTTGGGCTGTGGGCAACATCGTGAAGACAGTCGCGTTGTACCAGTAGGGCCGCAATTGGGATAATCGGTTCTGTAGTCTCCATTGTCTAGGGAACCACCACCACGACCACCACCGGCAGCATTCTTTGTGAGCTTCAGTGAAACCAATCTTTCTCGTCTCCAGAGTCTCGAGCCTGAACCCTTTGATTCCTTTAAATGCTAGACACTAAACCCTTTGGTTCTCTTGAGCCCCTGAACCCTAAACCCCTAAACCCGAAACCCTAAACCCTAAACCCTTTCTTCAGTCGGCAGGCCGGGACAGCAGTTTCCGCCCCAGTGCCGAGGGCGCCACTGCCCCGCAGAGGCCTGGATGTAGGATTTTAGGTGTTCAGTTTGAGGGTTTGAGGGTTTGTTGGTGCAGAATCCCGTCGATTTCATGGCTGCGGCGCTTCTTTGGTCAAAGGGCTGGGTTTTAGGATTCAAGGTTCATAGGATTGCATAGGGTTAGAGTACCTGAATTTGCAGTGATTTTTGACCGAAGGTTGTTGACAAAGCTTGTTTTTACACATGAAACGGCTGGTCTCCGCGCCGGGCCGTGCTGCAGTGGGCCGTGAAAGCATGCAGTTCTTAGAGTCTAGGGTACTAGGGTACCTTACTATGAATGGGGGTATAATATACCCCCCCCAAAACCTGTTCTAATTGTTAAGGCCCCTACATTATCTACTTGTTTCAGTCTTGAGAGTTCAGGGCTTGGGGCTCAGTTTTTCGAGGCTGAGGCTCCGGGTTCGCCATCCCGAAACCCAAACCCAATAAAGGGAGGGTTTAGGGTTTAGGGTTTAGGGTTTAGGGTTTAGGGTTTAGGGTTTAGGGACCCAAAGAAG